AAAAAAAAAAAATAAAAGCAAGTCACCAATAATTGTCATTCACTTTGTCAACAATTTCAGTTTTTATTTTGAAAACTAGTTATAACAATAGTCTAATAAGAAAGAAAAACTATAGTAGGAAAGACTGCAAATGTACCGAGTCAAGTTAAGCATTGGCTTTGTCGAGCAATTTTTTTTATCTGTTCGGGCTCGATTTATTACACTTGAGATCAACTCGACAAAAGAAGACAATCGTCCGAGCCGAACACTAGATCGATTGAAATCAAAGTGCTCGAAAGATTGCTTGAGCTCGACTCAAGTTAGACACAAATTTCAAGTAAAAATTACTATTATGTACATATATAAAATATTATAATATTTATATGTAGAGTATTTTAGTAATTCACCACATATCTCGGCTCGACCTTCTAAAACTTATGCTCTTTGTTTCAATAGCATGCTCGAGCTCCGCTCGAGTTTGGCCAAACTTGAGCACAAGTCGAGCTTTGACTCGAGCTGCTCGACTCGTTACGAGCCCTAGTAGGAACCTAATCTATGTATAAAATGAAGAAATAAGAACCATCATAAGAACGAAGTTAATGTATAAAAAGAAAGTAGATAGTTATTGAATCAAACCACATCTGTATAAGTTTGTGTACATGTGCTCGTGCAATGTACCCAAACCTTTAAAATCGAATTATATTTAGTTTACTGATAATCACATCACCCACTAAAACCCATTTGTTTAGCATTAAACTTTGGACTCAAGTGCTTGATAATATGTCAATGTCACGACCACACAATGATAATGGTGGTCAAGTAAGTTTGCGTCACTGCATACTCAACATCCATTTTAAAAACCAGCAAATTAAAAAAAAAAAAAAGCAAAAAAAAAAATAATAATAATAAAAAAATGACTTGCTCATCAGTCATAAATTCTAAATTACATAAAATAGTTAGCTTATTTGCCTCTGCAGATGAGAAAGATCACATTTCTGATACAAAGAAAAAAGTGAGACAAAGAAAGAAAATAAAAGGATTCTCAACCTCTTCTCCCATATAACACCTGCTCGAAAAAATTTCCATTACCTGCAATTTGCAAATAGCTTTTCCCTATCCCATGAGCTAAAGCAAAACTATCAGAAAATAATAGTAAAATAAAATAAAATAAAATCAGGTTCTACACATACAAGGGGTCAAGGGGTTTTCCCAGATATCGTAGTTCGGAAAAGTTTCTTCTGGCAAGCCCGTTCGTGTCTCGTGGGTTGCCATCACATCCTCCACAAACGTGGCCCAGCCCATGTAAGGGTCCCCTAAGGATTTGGACATTAGACCCTTATCGGGCTTTATGGATTTCTGGCGGTGGCCCAAATACCGGCGATGCCCGATTATCAGCTTAGCAAAGTTGCCGCCGTGTGTCATTACAAAAACGTCGGATTTCAGGCAAACCAAGAAGTCGAGAGCTGCGAGGCTCGTCACGTGCTTTTTGAAGCTGTCCAGCTCGAACTTATTGGCTAGTTCCTCCTTTGTGACCTGCAAAAGATTGTTAATAAAAAAAAATATATTAGTTGAATGGGGTTTTGCAATTGTGAAAGTGCTATTGGATATTTGGATATGAAAAAGTTTCAAATTTTCATTTCCGGTAGAGAGAACTTTCTTCTCAAAGGACACAAGAAGTTTCAAAAAATATACCATTCACTCATTCAATAAATTTCTCACGTCAAACTCATCCATCCGTGCACTTAGCAGGAAAAAAAAAAAAACCCCATCATTACTGCACATTTTTCGTTCAAATTTTATAGTTCACCTACTCACATATTTCTGACTACCATATCATATCATTTTTTTTATTATTATATCCACGAAACATCGACTTTAATCGTAATTCACTTTATACCCATACACGAATCACACTCTAAAAGATTCATCTTCTTTCCTAAAGAATAAAAATAAGTTCTCCTTTTCTTTCAATCTTTTGTTCATTTATTTTTACTAGTTTAAGGTAGACAAAAAGTGGTAAACTAGGAGATTCCGAGTATATAAGAGCTGAATGGACTAACAAGATTTGGGAACATGTTTCTGAGCGGGGCCATGCGGTTCTGGCCACCATAAACCTGTCCAGATGCAACGTATATTTGGGTTTCTTTAGGATAGCCCATTCCGCGAAGCATCACAGCTACCTCGCCTGGCTCAAGAGGGCACCGACCTTCCTTACGCTTCTGAAGAGCCAAGGCCCAAAGATGAGAACCATCCTGCAAAATGAGACCCAAAAAATTAGTCATATTAGTCTAAACATAATGTCAACGATTAATTAAAGAAAAAAAAATTTAAAGAGAAAAGGCTAGGATGCTTGGATATAAGATATCTTGATTTGTTTGGATTTCTTTTTAATGATTAATTTTGAAAAAAAATGGTATTGTTAGTTGTTAGTAAGATTTTGAGTTTATATTAAAATAATATTTAAAATAAAATAATTAAAGTTGATTTGATGTAAAAGTAGGAGAGATATGATGTGAAGTGATGATTAGTTAAATTATGTGAGTGGATGAATAGTGAATTAAAGTTGAGTTAATAAAAAAATTGTATCCAAGCATGCACTAAGAAATTCAAAGTTTCAAGTACCCACTTAATTCTTATTTCCATGTCATAAATTGTAGAAAAAATACATGTGGAGAAAATACAAACCCTCAACCTGAAGAAAAGATAAAAACAGAAAAATGATACCTTGAAACGTCGAGGCCATTCTTTTAGTCTGTACAAGGCCATAAGTGCCTTTTCCATCCTAGTCCCGACAAAGTCACAGAAAGAAAGGCCAACCATACCTTTCTCAAACCTTAGATGAAGAGCCCTGATGACATACATATATAAGAAACAAAGATTATTCGATAAAAGTTATACAATCATTCACCTGAGAAGATTATTTTTTGAGGGATGATAGGTTAAGTAGGATCAGACCCAGGAAAAGGAAAAATGCGTAAACTGTAAATTGCTGTGTCTGTTGTCACTCACATGAAAGGATTTGAACTTCCAGTTCGGTTTCTCATTCGAGATACGAGTAAATCAGCCATATTCTCTATTTCGGGAAGAAACTTCAGAGCATGATA